TAAGTGTTGGTGAGAATGTGGAGAAAAAGGTACATTCATACATTGCTGGTGGGACTGCAAATTAGTGCAGCCATTTTGGGAGTACATCTTGGAATTTATTTTTATCACTTTATATTTAATAAGATTTAGTCTTTGGGGTTTGTTGAAGCCAACTAAAGTTTTTTTTTGAATTGGCTGAAGTATTTGATTACCTGTTTTAAGGATCTTGATTTTTACTGAATAGGCAATCGTCAGCCACCAAAAGTAAGCAGATGAGTACTGCAATAATATAGTGTTAAGGAAAGTTATTGTGTTGATAGTATGTAAAGAGTTTGGGAGAGGTGAAAACAAAGTAGGAAGGTGAGATCTTTGTAATGGTTGAAATGCAGGGTGGTCATCAGGGTGTTAGGATGAAAGAAATTTTGCACTTTGTCTTGTTCACTGCCATATCTTTAATGTACAAATAGATTTGGCACTTATTAAGTACTGAGAAAATATTTGTTGATTCAATAAATGAATTAATCATTTTTTATATGTAGGCTATATACAGAAAGAATGGACAACATTCTCTAATATTTTAAGCTTGATTTAACTATTACAACAGGGAACTTGAACAGAGAAAGTTTTGAGGAAATACCAAGAACTTTGTTTTATTTATTTAATGCTTTCAAATAAAATATTTGATAAACATTTTGGGGGATTTAATATATTGGAGAGAGATTGTTTGCTTGGAGTTTTAAGAATCATTTGCCTAAAAGTAATAGATAATAGTATTGGTAATAAATAAAAGAGTCAAAGACCCAAGAGAAGGGCAAAATAATCTAATGGGCAGAAGATAACATATATTGAGTGCTTTCTGCGTGCCAGGTATTGTTATGAGATTTGTATATAATATCTGATTTAACCTCACAACATCCCCAAAAGCTATTACCTAGGAAAACTGAAATTGAGAGAAGTTAAGCAACTTATCCCATATCCCCTGTCCAATACGTATTACAGCCATTATATGAACTAGATGAATCTACCTCCAATTTTTTATCTCTGTTGCAATCACCATCTTTAATGAATTTTGTCTACCTCTACCATTAAGCACTACAACATAATTGTTTTGTCCTTGTCTACTGAGTTCAACATTTGGTTATTTTGTAGGTCTGTTTCTATTTCCTTTTGTTTTGGGTTTTTCTTTTTTCTTTTGATTATACGTCACATTTTGCATATTTTATCATCTCTTTATATTTCCCGTCATATATTGAATAAAAAAGAATGGTAGAGACTGAGGTAAATAATCCTTACCCTAGAAAAAGGCATATTCCTTTCTCCATCTGGCAGCTAGTCTGGGATGTGTATTCTCTTCAGTCTCATCTCCACTTGAACTGGGACTGTTCTTAGTTGCATTTCATTTGAATATGCACTTCTTGAAGTTACTTTGATTAGGACTCTCTTTTCATCTGGGCTTGGAATTCAGCTTCAATGAGTCTAGGGAACCCAACTCCCAGCCCACTTTACAGACAGTTCTGCTTCTTCAAGAGTTTGCTACTCTCAGCCCCTCCAAGTCCTAGAGGAAATTTCTCGGTCTTCCTACCCTGCCCCCAGTCTTTGGTGAAGTGGAAATTTAATAGAAAAGATTTGATGAGCAGGCGTTCCTCATCTCTTTTTTTGTCCAAGCCCCAGCATACTGCATGTAGTCACTATATGCACTCAATTAGGATTTGTGGTAAATAACTAGCAGACTAAACAGATTCCATGGATCTTCTCAGGACTCTAAAAATTTATCACAGGAGTCCACTGATCATAAAGTTTGACTGCTTTCTATATACATTGATATAATCCTTTAATCTATGGAGGTTTGAATCTCTTCCCTTGGTTCTCCAATTAAGAAAGTAGACATGGAATTTCACTCGTGTAGGAAAGGCTTATCCAATCTGTAATTTAGTTCATCCACATGACTGCATTCTCAGCACTCTGGGTTATAAAAGCACAATTTTATAACCCATCCGACATTTTTGTAATGATGAGAATAGTTTTCAACTTCCACTTTTCATATACAGTACTAAGTAAAAAACATAAATATATTTTAATCATTAAAAATATTAGTTCTTAAAAGAATAGACAACATGGGCTGGGAATGTGGCTCAGGTGGTAGMGCGCTCATCTGGCATGCGAGCGGCCCAGGTTCAATCCTCAGCACCACATACCAACAAAGATGTTGTGTCCGTCGAGAACTAAAAAAATAAATAAATATTAAAAATTCTCTCTCTCTCTCTCTCTCTCTCTCTCTCTCTCTCTCTCTCTCCTCTCTCACTCTCTCTTAAAAAAAAGAATAGACAACATGAAAATATTAATTTTCATTATAGATTGCTATTATATATATGTAAATTATGGAATCTCAAAATTCAGGAAGAAGCCAAAGTTCTAAACAGTCTAGATTTTTAGTATTTTTATTGCAGTTATGCTAATAGGAAAACTTATCAAAGAACTTCAAAAATTGCATTTGGAATGCTTGAGTGCTAGCATACATTAATTTTCAATTTTAAGGTGAAGCCAGAGACAGACCTGAGATGTTTTAGAAATAAAGTTGTTGTTTTCTATGAAATATTAGTAACATCAACCTACAAGTTTTAGAAAAGTAAATTGCCCTTTATCTGGATTTCTTGACTTGGAATCTGTGTGTCCATTACTGGTAAATCATTGATAGAAAGGCAGAAGAAATTGTACATATTCATTTATCGAGGCAACATCATGTCATGTCATATTTTGTAATATTGAAATACATTTGGTGAACTTCAAGTGCCGTTGTCTTGCTTATTCTTGGATCTTTAACATCTAGCAAGGCCTAGCTAATAATCATTGTTCAATAAGTATTTATTGAAGAATTAATTGAATAGAAATATTTTATATAAACTGAATATATCACTGAGTACATCCAGATTTTAGTGAATACCATCTTGAATATATCAGCCTTTTATAGAGTAAATGCTGGTTTAACATAACAGCTTACATAATTTCTACTAAGGACACAATAGCTACCCAAACTTTAATTTAAAAATCCAGTTATTCTTTGATGGTGGATAACAAAAATAATGTTAAGAATCAATGAAGCATTTTCTAATAGAAGAAAACTAATAATGATAAAGTAGACTTATAAAAAGAGGCTAGCAATAAGTCATAAATGTGAGATTAGAAGGTTCACTCAGTGGAAAGTTTGCATGAGAGATTGGCCATGAACAGAAGGGGATAGGTACTAGCTAACAAAACTGAGAAACACCCCTATAATTCTTATCCATTATTATTCATTTTTATTGCAAAGCAGATGTAGATTTAATTTAATTTACTATGATAAAGTAATCTGTTCCTCTTATATGGAATCATAGAACCAACTCACAATTTGGCCTTGCTAAGTCACTGCTTTATCACCCAGCATGATAAAAATGTATCTTCTTTGCTCTTGGGAGCTCTTATAGAAAACATCATTCAGTTTTCTCCTCATCAGTTTTCCTTTTTTTTTTTTTCCTTTCTAATACCTCATATAACTAACTACTCATCCTTAATGAGAAAAGTAGAATTCTCTTAGACCCATGCTTTAAATCCCTAAAGACTATGCCTATATAGTCAATAGTTGAACTTTAATAAGTTCAGAATAGTATTACAGCTTCAAAAATAACCAGATAAATAAATATGTAACTATGAATAAATAAATATTTAACTATGGGTGTAAAGCTGAAGACTTAGGCAACAGTTCCAGCACTGGCAGTAATACATCAAAACAAATCACTCTTCTTTTGGCTATAAGAACATTAGGCAAGGAGAATCTATAAGCAGGRAAAACTGTGACATTCAGAATAAAGGAGAGGGAATCATAATAATAAAGACTTCCCACAGGAGCTGAAAGATTCAAGACAATGACAGCTGGTGAGAATGTTCCCCAGCATTGATACCAACCATGAACCAACCAAATAGGAGATTTTTTAAAAAAAAATTCTGGGTATCATGTTCATTTCAGTAACATGGATTATGTTTAAATGAAAATTATAAATTGTATTGATTTTTTGCTTCTTTGCTTAACTTTTAATTTCAAGTTGGAGACAACTTTACAAGCTATCTCAATCTCTTTTGGACTTAGACCTTTTTACGATTTCCTACAGCTTTAGATCTTCACTGGTTTTTCATAGCCTTGGAACTTTCCAAATACACTATTATATAGCCTCAAGTATAATAACCATGATGCATGTGACTTTTTTTTTCTTTTTTTGGTACCAGGGATTGAACTCCTATTGAAGTCCTATAATTATAAAACATGTATTGGTTTACTTCACAGCCAGAATATCTGTTTATCATAGTACTTTTTTTTGAAAGCATTCTTTTTTTTTAACCACTAAGCCATATGCCAGCCCTATTTTGTATTTTATTTAGAGACAGGGTCTCGAAGAGTTGCTCAGCACCTCACCATTGCTGAGGCTGGCTTTGAACTCACCATCCTCCTGTCTCAACCTCCAATACCCCTGGGATTACAAAGGTGCACCACTGCGCCTGACTATGTCTTTAACTTCTTTTTTGTTCACAGGCCTAAGGAAAGATCTTAGATTTTTTTCTCTGTGTTCCTGAGAAGTTCTCCAAAAACAGCAGATTTTCCCCTCATACTTAAAGTTCAACAGACAAAGAAAACATAGTTTGGCTGTATAGATTATTTACTACTTAGTAGCTTGGCCTCATTTTGAATCTAAAGTTAGTACCACTTCTAAAATTTATAGAAGTTTTGACACTATAAAGAAAAATACTGTTCCCTTACTATTTTATAAAGGTTTCGAGACTATTGAAAATCCTATGCTTTTTGATAAAATGTTTGAAGTGATTTTAAATTTGTTTTAAGCAGAAAGTTTATTATTTTCTTGTAGCTTACAGTCTGTTTTGTAATCAAAATTTCCTGCATGATTTTTTTTAGTACAAAATAATACAAGTTAAGTGAGCATTTTTGCTGTCTAATTTTAAGTTTTCTATTACTCCCCCCCCCTTCCTATTTTCAGCTTTCTAAGAAATATGGAGTCCACGTATGTGGAGAAGGTGGAGAATATGAAACATTCACTTTGGATTGCCCTCTATTTAAGAAGAAAATAATTGTGTAAGATATCATTTTAGAAGTTTTTTGCCCTTTCCTTAAATGTAAGTGATAAAAGAAGCAACTTAACATTAAGCTTGAGGCAACTTTTGTTGGGAGAAATAGAACATGTCCTGTAAGTTCACAAACACTCAATTTGTTTAATACCAGTGAAGTCGTCTGAATACTTAAATCAATACCTGACAAGACGAGGCCTTCATAGAAGGCTATAAACTTTTTAGACATTGCACTTTCGTTTACTTGCTGATTATGGCCTGCAGTAAAACTGGAACCTACACACTGACACTTTTATCCTTTCATGAAGTGTGAATTGCCTGTATTATTTATCTTTCATTACAGCAACATTTGATAAACTGCCACATCAGTAGCCTGTGGGTTCCATTAACTCCATCCTCTTTTTCCTTTTATTTTTGGCTTTAAAAAGTTAGAATAGCATACTAAATATTTCTCTTCAATTACTTGTAGTTATTTTTACATGTAAACTTTGTTTTTAAATAGGTTCAATTTATGGTAAGTAGTATGATTTATTTACCATAAATTGTTAAAATTAGTATACAGAAAAATGGGAGCTTTCTTCAGTTTATTACATTATTATCCATGTTCTAATTTATGTCACTCTTGTCATATGCTAAAAAAGCATTTTATCTCCTTTTCCTGAGTTCTTATGCTTCTTAGAAAAGACTATCTGAATTATGCTTGACTGAATGGACAGTTTTTGGTATTTTCAACAATAAGATTTGAATTCTTTGTACATATTAATAAGAGAGGAAGTAAGTTAAGAAAATTAAGACAGCTCGAGGTAGATTTTCTAAAAAAAATATTTATTTAATAGAATATAGCAAAATTTTTTTATCACAAAAATTCATGTACAAAATTCATGTATACTTTCATGTTTTTCCTGTTTTATTTCCTATTAATAATCAACATAATAATGACTTATTTAGCAAATATTTATCAGGTGTCTATTATGTCCAGATCATCCTACTGACTGTGGTGATCACACAATGATTCTCAAATGAAACATGCATGAGATATTACTTCCATGAAATAGCACTGTTTGATTATTTAAGAAAAGCATCCACATGCTAGGGTGAATTTAGAGTATAATGGAAAACTTGATATATATTTAGTTACTAATATGAGACTAGCAAAATTGGCCAAGGGGAGAACACTAAGAGGAAGAAATCCAAAGAATAAGACTTTGCCCATTTACTTGAAAAACTGAAGTCCTATAATTATAAAACATGTATTGCTTTACTTCACAACCAAATATCTGTTTATCATAGTAATTTTTTTAAAGCATTCTTTTTTTTAACCTTTATTTTATGTACTTATTTTTATGTGGTGCTGAGGATCGAACCCAGTACCTCACATGTGCAAGCACTCTACCACTGAGCCACAACCCCAGCACCTTATCATAATACTTAAACCTGCATCCCTTAAACCTGATGGAGACAAAGTCTTGAGGGGACCTTGTCATGCTATTCAAGAAAAGGTATCAGAGATAGTATATTAGAACTGTCTAATGCCAAATAGAACTCTTCATTTCAGCCAAATAATCATTTATTGAGGGAAATTTTTTAAGTGAAACTGCAAACTGTTTCCCTGCTCTGCAAGAGTTCTTTCTGTAAAAAGAGAGGTGGACAGACAAATCAACAATATGTGAGAGGTGCCACCATACAGATGCACCTTGAGACACAAAGGAAGTCTTACCTTTTTGTTCTTATTCATTTGTCAGTTTATCACCAAATTCTGATGTTTAAGCATATTATTTCCTCTTTTTTCTTTATAGGTTATCTCTCTCTTCAGCTTCATTTCTTTCTTACTTGATTCCTTTCTTTTAAATCACCTTCCTATTTCTGCCCACTTTGATAGATCTTTCCCTTTCTGAAGGTTTGTGCTGCCAACCACCTCCAGTGCTCGTTCTATATGTGAACTCTCAGAACATACAGTAGGCACTAATAAGTATTAAGTGTTGTTATATTGTATTTTATTATTATTTCTGTTTACATGCTTTCTTTCACATATTTTTATGTATTATTCTCTTTTATATTTAGAGGTTATATATTGAGGATTATCCTGGTTCAATGGAAAAAGGATGTTTCTTACTATGTGCAAAATCCTTCCTCCCCTTTAAGATATAATTATCCTTATCATGCCTGCTTAATATGCATCAAATGTTAGTTAACATGCATTATCCATTCTAAAATTATATATAAATGAAAGATATTTTACTTAGACATAGTTTTCCATATGATACAATTAAAAGATAACTTTCTAACAACATTCTACCATTAATAATGCTGGATCTTGTAGTTCAGAATTCATTTTTGGAAAAATTAATAATTTTTGTTTTATGTAATAAATTCTGGTCTGCCCTAGTTAGCATACAACTAATTATTTATAAGGATTCATATTTCAAATGTCTGATTCAAATAAATTTTTTTATTTTAAAAAAAGAAAAAGACCACATCTTCCATATGCAAAATTGTTTGATTATTATAGGAATATTTTACTTTATATATTTTATATTAAATAAACTTTCACATGCCAAATTATTTGATTATAATTAGGAATATTTTAAACACAGATTGAATCCTTGTTGTATAGTGAAATAATTTAGAGATTGAAATGATTCCAGAACTTTAACATTTTTTAAATCTTCTAGGAAAGACAGTTTCATAAACCCTTTATAATTTTAAAAAATTCAACGTGGAACCTTTTATAATTCACTTTTCATATTAATTAATATATAAAGTCACTAACCTCTAAAATACAAATTTTAGATGAGAAAATAAGTTTTGTTTTTTTTTTTTTTTCTTAGAAGCTCTGATGAAAAGAATTACAGCCTAGCTTTTAAAAGAAGAGGACAATTCCTGGGAAATTATAGGTTCTCAAATCTTAAAAAATTACTATTGTATACATATATATCAGAACTTAAATCCTAAAGTATATTAAAGAAAGTAATCACTTTATTTTCTCTGTTGATGAATAATCCTTTTTAATGTCAGTATTTTCCTTTGGATAGTCAGTATTACTATACTACTGCTACAAAGTTGTAATATATGGGGTAAAGGAAAACCAGAATGAATGAAGGAAAGAAGGACTAAATCACATGGTTAAAAAAACTATCCATTTGGTCTGGGGTTGTGGCTCAGTGGTAAGAGTACTTACCTAGCATGTGTGAGGCCCTGTGTTCAATTCTCAGCACCACATATAAATGAATAAAATAAAAATCTATTGATAACTAAACAAATATTAAAAGAAAAAAAATTTAAACTATCCATTCATTTTCTACTTTCTCAAACTACTCATATTTGCTACCTATTCAAGATATATTCAGTACAGAGCACCATACTGAGGCATTTCCCCATGAGGAGGAAGCAAAGACTTTTAACTTAGTTGCCTTCTCATATTGATTTTGTATTACCTGGGAATTTATTTAAATGTATTAACTCTTTTTCTTATATTTAAATTTTTAGATCCATTAACCTTTATTTTTATTATGCTAGGAATACTATATGGCATTATTGATATTTATGTGTGCATAAATGTTTACATGTACATCAAATGTAATATGCATATTAAATATTGTTAAATTGCCATTATTATTTTGTTTACATGCTTTGTTTCACATACTTTTTAAAGTATTACTCATGAAAGAGACAGTGTTATGTATGTATGAAAAAGTATGTATTCATGTGAAGGTAATTAAAATTAGTGTGGATTTCTGATCATTTCATTAGTTAATATGAAAATGTAAAGGTGTTTGACAAAGTTTAATTATACAGTTATTAATGTCTAATTAATCCCAGCCACTGTACTCTACTGAGCTGGGGTAGATTGGGATGGCACATGAACAGGCAAAGATGAACAAAACTAATACCTCTCACACAATTACAGTAGATGTGTTATAACAGGGCTATCAATGCAATACTAAAGAACATGAAGAAGAAAACATGGGTATAAAGGACTGGCTTCACAGAAATCACATCTAGATGTCTGTGAGGGTAGGTGTGAGTCTACAGGACTCGCAAGAGGGCTTCCTCTGTACTTTATCTTTCTGTTCCTCCTCATGATACCTGGAAGCATCATTTAGTTGATGTAACCTGTGAAGGTAAGTCATATCTTTTCATCAGGATCCTGACTCATGAATGATTCTATTTCTGTTGTGTTATACTTTGCTTTTCTTTTAATGTCCAACAAGTTCTGTCTTCTAATTGGTGGATTACAAGTATACATAGTAATAGAATTTATTATGCCATATTTGTATATGTACATATTACGTAAAAACTGATTACTCACATTCCCCAGTACTTTCCCTTTCCCACCCAACTCCCTTCCCCTGATCTGTTTGCTCTACTTTAGTGATCATTCTATTGTTGTTATTATTAATATCTTAATTAGTGCATTATAGTTATATATAAATAAGTCCTTTTTAATGTTGCTTTTCCTAATCATTAACAAAATGCATATTTGATATAAAGGTTCATGAATGTAACTCACTTTTTTTATAAATCATCAAACATACTTTTGTTTTTGTTTGTTTGTTTTTGGTACTGGGAATTAAACCCAGGGGTCCTTTACCACTAAGCTACATCCCCAGTGTTTTTAATTTTTGATTTTGAGACAGGGTCATGCTAAGGTGCTGAGACTGGCCTCTAGCTTGCAATTCTCCTGCCAAGGATCCCTCCCAAATCACTGGTATTACAGGTGTAATCCACCATGCCTGGCATCAAACATAGTTTTTAAATCTATCTTGAATCTTTCATATAGAAAGTAAACATATTTTGCTCATGGAAATTTAGTATTTTGCAGTCACATATTCTGATGTTTCTTCTGTTGCCTCTAAATAACTTTATATCACAAAAGTTGATTCAAAAATGTTTTTGCCTTAGTGACAAAAGGTCAAAGTAAGGATTTATTCTGCTATACTACAGTGATCAAAATGCTAACAGTATTAATCCAAACAATGGAACTACTTCCTAAGGCATTAAAGAGATATGAGAAATTTCTATTTAAATTTCCAGTTAAAATGCAAAGTATTATCACTCCCAATAAACAATAATAAAAAATAATTAGCTATTAGAACTTCTCACGTAATTTGTTATTCATATGTGTTTTACAGGGTATCTTTGATAAAGTTGGGTTAATTTACATGTATCTATATGGTTCCAACAAGCAGTTCATACCATTTTACCTGAATGTGGTAATTACTGTGTCAGGCGATCAATTTTAATAGCAATGATGTTTCAGTGTGAAGAGTTCAGCTGAAGCTTAAACCATCCTGGGTAATGCTTTTGTGAAAGATAATTGAGATTTTGTGTGAAACACTGAATGAATTACCTTTTGAAAATAAAAAGAATAATGAAGATAAAGCACTAATGTTTAGTCCCTACCAAGCAAATTTGTGAAAATAAAATTGAACAGGAGTTTAAGTCTTAAAATTGTTCCAAGAGCTTTGAGTGAACCTACAAGTTGAACTATGTGCTCTTGTGAAGATGAAAAACTTCATTATTTTTTCAAAAGTTTACTATTCTTGATCCTTTTACCCAATTATTGAATCATTAAAATACATGTTAATCACTGCATGTTGTACATAAATGGAAATTAGTACACAGTGAGGATTTTTTGTCTCTTCTGTCAGTAGCAGAAGTAACTTGCCATAATTTGTATAGTAAATAAATGCATTATAATTATATTTCAGGGATTCTTCAGAAGTGGTTGTACATTCAGCTGATGCATTTGCACCTGTGGCTTATCTACGCTTTTTAGAATTGCACTTAGAAGACAAGGCAAGTAAATCTAAAATTTACAGTGACTTTATTTGAAAAGTGAGATACACACATTGACTCTGTATATATAGTTCTGTGACATTAGATGAGAGAAGAAAGAAAATTGATTTTGTCATTAGTGATGTTTTTCAGCTCCTCAGTCAATAACTAAGAATATTAAAACTGCTTATAATCTTAAGATCGCTATGATACAAAGACATTACATTTCAGAAAAGTTTGCAGGCAGGTCAGTGAAATGGGAGTAATACATTAAACAATGAGAAGATAAAGGACAATATAAAACCAAGTATTAAATCATGTAGCAAGATAAGAATTAGGTTATTGGGCATAAGTATTACAGGGAAGATTTGATGATGAATTGGATTTCTTCATATCATAAGAAGAGAGGAGAAATACAGCTTTTCTGAAAATATTCAGGGGAAGAGAAGTACAAGGGACAGATGAAAAATGAGGCAAAAGTGCAGTAGAGCTCTTTTTAAAATACAACAAAATGTCAATTTAATGATGTTGAGTGGGGGCTGAGGTTATAGCTCAGTAGTAGAGCTATTGCCTTACACATGTGAGGTACTAGGTTTGATCCTCAGCACCACATTAAAAAATAAGTAAATAAAACAAATTAAAAAAAATATGTTGAGTGGAATCAGTAAAAATCTGGATTAAATCCTTTGATTGTAAGGTCTGATCCTTGAAATATTGCTTTATATATTTCTGTCTTCATAGAAATACCAGCTGAAATTGTGTAAGGAAATGAGACTAATGACAGATAAAAAAAAAAAAAAGATTAGAAAAAGTATTCTGTGTGTCTGTGTTTTTTCCCCAAATCTTGAGACACACTCCTACTTACATGTTTGGGATAGGGAATCTGAAGGATCAAAAGAATTAACGAGGATTCAGCAAAAATTAGGAAAACTCTTTGAGAGTTTCCATAATAGAAAATAGTTACTGATACCAGGTCTCCAGAAAGATGATGATGAACAGGATTGAAAAATAGGTCAGTCAACTGGGATGGAATTGCCTTTTATCAAAAAACTGATTGAAGTAATAACTATCCAAACATTTCTCAGACTTACTAAAAGGAACCCCTTACTTTTAAGCCCTTCTGCTTTTGCTGCATGTACACACACACAAATTCAAAACCATTAAATTCTTGTTTAGATACTACTACAATTATATGTTCAGCTCTACCTAAACAGCTCACTATTCACTTTGCTGTTTGGTATTGTATTTGTCTTTACAGTCCATTTCCCTATTGAACATTACAATGTTAGATCTTTAAGGTGAGATATCTACTGACATTGAATAAAAATGATGCATTTACCTTCATTTTCTTCTTCTTCTTCTTATCTCTCTCTATCTCTTTCTCTCTTTTCCAGGTATCTCCAGAGCCTGACAACTATAAAACATCTACGTATATACATAATTTTTGAAAAAGCATTTTCAAAAACATCATTGACTAAGCAGTCATTTTTGTACAGAAAAGTTAACATAGCATTTTGTCAATTACTATGGCCAGTTTTTCCCATTACTTTATTTTTTTATTTTTTAAATGCTTTTTTTAAGAAGAAATTAATAGAATCATTGATTAATTGAAAAAAATATCAACAGCTTATTCATTAACATTACCAACTTCTCTATATTGACTTTTTCTTTGGCTAACACAACCTTTCCATGACTTCTATGTGACATATGTCTCTTTTGTTCCCCTTTAATTTTACCTATAACTCCTGTATGTGTAATTATTTCTTTCATTGCACTATTTTCCTCTTTATTCTTCCCATCCTTGCAATCTATGTCATGATACAGAGGCATATGAAAAGACAATCACTTTATTTAGCCAATTGAGTTTATTTTACTGTATATCACCTAAATGATCTCTAATTTTTGTATCAACGTTACTGGAAAAATAGGAATAATACCATTACTTTAATTGGTTATTTTATAATCATGTTTATTTACACCCTATTTAAAAAAATAGAATGTGGGGGGTATCTTTCAGTTCACAGCAAAATTGAGATGTACGGAGTTCCCGTATATACTCCCTGCTTCCACACAAGCATGGTCTACTCCACCATTAACTTTCTGTGCCAGAGTCATACATATTTTACAACTGCTGAACCTATTTTGATTAAATATTATCATAAAAAGCCCATAGTTTACATTAAGGTTCACTGTTAATTTTTACAGTCTGTATGTTTTGATAATGTCAAATGACATGTGTCCACTATTACAATATCATACAGAATAGTTTTGCCACCTTAAGATCTATGTTCCACTTATTCATTTCTTCATTGGTCTTCTTTAATCTCTGGCAACCACTCATTTTATTGTCTCCATACCTTTGTTTTTTCCAGGATGTCATATAAAAAAAAATACAGTATGTATCCTTTCCCGATTAGCTTCTTCCTCTTATTAATTTGCATTTAGGTTCCCTCATTTTTTTAAGTCTTGTTAGCTTATTTCTTACAAGTACCTAATAATATTCCATTGTCTGAACATAACAAAGTTTATTATATCCTTTCACCTCCTGAAGGACAACTTAGTTRCTTCCACCTTTTGGCAATTATGAATATAACTACTATAAACATCCATGTGCATGTTTTTGTGTAAACGTAAGTTTTCAATTCATTTGTGTAAATACCAATGAGTATGATTATTGTATTTATAAAAGTATAATGAAAGGATGTTTAGCTTTGTAAGAAACTGACAAACTGTCTTCCATTATAGCTGTACTATTTTGCATCCCACCAGTAATAAATGAATTTCTTTTCTTCCATTCTTACCAGCATTAGATGTTGTTTTGGCTATTATATTAGGTTTGTAGCGTTATCTCATTGTTGTTAAAGTTTGAAGTTTTCTAATGATTTAAGACATTGAGCATCTTTTCATATGCTTATCTACCATCTGTATATCTTCTCTGGTGAAATTTTTCTTTATAGATCTTTTGCCCATTTTTTTTTCTTTTTTATAATTTAACCTTTATTTATTTTTTGGTGGTGTTTATTTGTTTTTATGTGGTGCTGACCATGGTCCCAGGGCCTCTCCCATCCTAGGTAAGCACTCTACCACTGAGCCATAAACCCAGCCCCTCTTTTGCCCATTTTAATTGGATTATTAATATTAATATTGAGTATTAAGAGTTCTTTGTATATTTTGGATAGCAGGGTTTTTTTCGGGTATATCATTTGCACATATTTTCTCCCATTCTGTAGTTTGACATCTGCTTCTCATAGTAATTAATGTTTTTCACAGACCAGAAGTTTTTTAATTTTAATAAAGCCAAGCTTATCAACTCTTTCCTTTTTTTATTGTACCTTTAATGTTATATCCAAAAAAATTCCACCCAAACCCAAGTCTATCTAGATTTTATTCTATGTTATCTTTTGAGAGTTTGATAGCTTTGTGTTTTACATTTGTGTCTTTAATACATTTTGAATTGATTTTATAAAGGATATAAGATCAGTGTATAGATTTATTTTTTTAAAAGTAGATATCCATTTGTTCTAGCACCATTTTTCTTCTTTGTATTGCCTTGTTATTTTAGTTATWTGTGTGAACTATTTCTGGACTCTGTACTTTGTTCCATTGACCCATCTATTCCTCTGCCAATACCACACTTTTTGGATTATTAAAACATAGTGAGTCTGGTCAGATAGTATCAGTCTTCAGACTTACTTAGTTCTTCTTCAATATTATATCAATTATACTGTGTCCTTTTTTTAAAATTTAACATTTATTTATTTATTTATTTGGTGCTGAGGATCAAACCCAGAGCCTTACCTGTGCTAGGTGAGTGCTCTACCACTGAGCCACAACCCCAGCTCTGTCTTTTGTTTCTTATCCACAAAATACCTTTTTGGAATTTTTATGGAATTGTGTTGAATCTATAGATAAGGTTGGGAAGAACTGACATTTTGGTAATAGTCTCCTCACATACTTAGTTCTCAGAACTTTGATTTTGTTAATCTTATATAGTTATATATTAAAATTTTATTTAGTTCATCAGAGTTCTGTTTAGATATCTTTTATATCCATTATTATAATTGGACATGTTAAATATGGCCTTAGAACTATTTGTCATTATATATAAAATTTGAACTTATTTTCTACTCCACATGTATTTTTCTCATTTTGTTATTTATCACAACTGATTCACCCTTAGTGGTTCAGGCACAGAATTTTGTCATCATTCTGTAAACTATATCTCTTTCACCATGAACATTCAATTGATTATCTCATCCTTTATATTGTAGTTCTAATATATCTCTTACCTCATTACATCCCCATGCCCATCTCTTCAATTAAAGTTGTACCTTGCCCAAACTCTTCTAGTTTGAGTCCATTCTTTGCTTCCATACGTTTCATAGTCAATTCTACCACCATATTGATTTTCCTTTCTAGTGTTCATTTCCTTGCACAAAATTCCACAATAGTGTTACATTCCTTTCTAAAGTTATAAGATGATTGGCCATGAATCGAAGGCCATTTGGCATATGTCTATAGCAACTTTTTTCACTCTTTGTCTTAGGCCTCTCCTATATGTATCCTTTGTTCTAATAATACTGAAACATTTAGATTCTCCCTTCTGCTTTTCTTCTCCCTTACCTTTTCTTATTTTGTCTTCTTCCCTTTAAATTATTACATCTTATCCATGACACAACCTTGAACTCAAATACTGTGTCATGAATTTATTCAACAAAATAAACTACCCTAACACTTTGTTTCTTCCCATTTTTTGTGACAAATAACTTTATTTAGCTTTATGTTATCAAGGACTTAAGTAATTTTACTAGGTTGCAAATTTCTTGAGGACTGATCTTTTTCATTGTCTCACCCTCTGGTTAAGCTATTAGCTTTTAAGTGTTAGGTAAAAGTTCAATATGAGGGGCTAGGTATGTGACTCAGTTGGTAGAGTGCTTGCCTAGCATATGCACATTCAGTCCCTAAAATTGGGAAAAAACAAGTTCAATAAGAAGTTTGCAATTGAACTAATTATTTATACTTCGTTTTTTCCTTCATACAGACTCTTAGAGATACGTTTTCCATTTTATGTTGAATATCATTTTATRAATAACTTTATTTTTTATTATACAAAACTGCTCTAAGCAAACTAGAATATAAAATACAACATTTAGAGAGATTGTTTTGTGTATATTCTAAGTTATCATTCAGATTTTCACTTTGTATGTGATGACTACTATTAAACTTTTAAATAATTTACTTAAATTTTACCTTTAAGTTAAAATCTTGAATTATTTATGTGTGTATTAAAATATCAACTAAATATGGATCCCAAGCAAAATAGTTGAATAATGCAAAGCTCTGAGTTAAAAATGGGGAAATATATTAAAATTTCTTTGGGACCCTCATTTTATTGCTTATGGCAAACTCGATATTAAGATGTATCATATATCACTGCAATGATGGGCTTGAGAAAATGAAAAATACAAAGCTTTACATAAATCAACCAAAAGATCATATTAAAATGTATAACCTTCAAAAAGAGAAAAATCAAGAATTCTATTTATTATCTATTCAGATACTTTTCCTTATATAGTTGTTTTGGATTTTCAGATAGATTTATGGAATATAGTATTTCAAATTAATTGTTGGCAAAGCCAATGTATTTATAAAAAAGCAAGGTTTAGGGCTGGGACTGTAGCTCAGTGGCAGAGCGCTAGCCTAGCATGTGTGAGGCACCAGGTTCGATCCTTGGTACTGCATTAAAAAAAAAAATAAAACTAAACAAATAAAGGCATGATGTTCATCTACATCTATTTAATTTTTTTTAAAGTGAGGTTCACAGAAATTTAGCTTTGCTAATGTTCTACTATGACTTAGTACTTAATTTTTCTTTTTTGGAAATAATCCTTGGTTACAAATTTTATCCTATAATCACTTAGTACTTTTTTTGTTGAAATAATTACATAGGAAATTATGCTTTTGTATAATTATAAAAGCCCACAAACCTAGAATTTGAAAGACATCACTATTTCGTGTCCTTTTTTTTTTGCCCTTTTCATTTTATTTTGCATTATTTTCAAAATTACAGTATTTCAGATATATCATCAAATACTTGAAAAAACACTGTAACATTAAACCATCTTCATGCTTTTGTTTTTATCTTCATCAAACCTGCGACTTTGAGTAATTACTCAGTTCTACATGGAATTAACTAAGTATGGACAAATTAGAGAATAATTCTAGTTTTGATATTAAGTACAAATTACTACCAGTATTCATTATTCCTAGTACTGTGATACAGCAACAGATATCACTAGGTTAGCTAATCTGAGCTAAAGTTATGGCCATACTATATTGTTGATTCAAAAATGAAGAATAATATTTAAGTTATGGTTTTATTTTTCTCCTATATCTGCCTGTTTTTATGGTATAAACTTGGAGCTTATAAAAATGTTTGTGTATGAATGAGAACTGTAAGAGCTACATTTAAAACTGCTATATTGATATTGGATTTGAGTATGGGGGAAGGGACAAAGAAGGAGAAAAACACAGAGAAACTTAATGCTTTATATTTCTGTAATTTATGTTTTCTTACAATGAGCATACACTTTAACTCAAAAAGAAATTGATTAAGGAAATTTACCTTTTCCCAACATTTACCATCAGCCTAAAGAGAAGAAAGCTTATTTGGAAAGGTTAAAAGAAGGTATTTAAACCTAAATGATACAACTTGGGACTTGGATGTGCCTTGCAACATAAATACTTCTGGGATGATGCTGCTATAAGTGATCACTGAAGCTATTAATAAACATTAGAGTCACCCAAATTTAGAGCTACTTGATTAATTTCTAACCCTAGTAAATAAACCTCAGTAGTAGCAGTGACATGTCATTGTGTTGGTGTTTTAGTTAGCTTTTTCATTCCAAAAGACCTAAAAAGAATGATTAAAGAGAGAAAAGTTTATTTGGCTCACAATTTCAGAGGTTTTAGTCCATAGACAGCTGACCCCATTGTTCCAGACCAAAGGTGAAGCAAAACAGATGGCAAAAAGGCTTGGTAGAAAAACTCATACCAGGACATGACCACCAGGAAGCAGAGCTCCACTCATCAGAGATAAGATATATAAACCAAAGACATGCCTTTAGTGACCTACTTCCTTCAGCCACACCCCATGTGCCTAGAGTTATCATCTAATTAATCCATATCAGTGGATTAAGCCGATTAAATTATACCTCTTATAACCTAGTCATTTCACCTCTGGACATTTTGCATTGTGTCATACATGAGCTTTTGGGGATTCAAAGTGGGAAATGAAAGATTGTTTTTATACCCTAAATCTATAGACATCTGGCTAATATGGAGAGAAAAATAACAAATAAACCAACTATTTTCCTTTTCTGCTTTCAGACTTTTTTACTTTATTGAAATGCTGTTCCATGTAAATTTTGTTGTTATTTTAATAAATAAAGTTTTTGATTTGTCTTTTCTGAAAGCTTCAGTTTGGTGATTACTTAAAAACAAAAGTGGCATACTATTTATTTATTCAGTACATATTTATTGAGTGCTTATAGAATGCCTATCCTTGTTTCAGCATTTGGGGATATAGTAGTGAACAGAACCATCTAAAATTATTGCCTTCTTAAAACATGTGTCCTATGGAGTAAAATAGAAAAACAAGTAAATCACATAGATAAAGTACAGGGAATGGAGTAAAAATTGCCTCACTCACTGCCCACAGATGTGATGTGATAATTAAATGATATATTTAAACCCAGATTGGGAGTAAAAACACCAGTCATTTTGGTCACATTGGCA